TCGTGGTTAGGCGAAAACGTGAATTGACGATCCGACCGTTGGATCGTCACCAAACTTTGATACGTTGTAATGCGTAATATTTAAGGATTATAGGAACTTACGGATTGGGAATCCGAGTTACGGATCTTCCGGAATTGGAGTTGTAAGTTCATAAAATAGAATGTTAACCGTCACTTAGTTTTGGAAATTGACGGAGATCCGACCGTTGGATGGTAATGAAATTTTAGGAAGTTGTCCTAGAGGTATATTGTGGACCTCTGGAAGTTATGGATTTGAAATCTGAGTTGCAGATCTTCCGGATCGAACTGCGTAGTGACGTGTTGTATATAAGTTATATATTCTATCGATAGGATTTCTGAGATTTGATTTGATTATTGTTTTAGGCGCCGATCGTCATGACGCCTTGACGTATTGTGCTATGGGGTTGTTGGGCGAACTCCAGGTGAGTGGGCAGTTTTGTTTTCGTATTACCTATATACAACTGTTTTTCCCAGAAAATGCGTTTATATGAAAATTTTGATTTAAATTGCCATGCATGCAAATGTTGAGATATTTAGTTTGATAATGGATGCATATATATGTTAATTGACGCGGTGGACGCACAGGTGAGTTTTTATATTATTCAGATGAGTTATTTTATGAGAATTGCATTGAAAGCTCATAACCTGCACCTAGGTGTTAGTGCTTATATTATTATTCACCACACCGCACGCTCGTCTTGGATCCAAGTAGGTGGATGTCGTACAGACCATGTGAGGGTTCCGACATGCTAGTCATATAGATCACTAGATGTGATTCCGACTAGTGGGTGACCTTAGTTATGCGCGCTGATGATTGATGAGAGAAGCACTAGAGCGTATTTATACACCTTTCATCGTACAGACTACTATACGTAGTTCCAAGTGATGTGCAGTGTAGTGCCGTACAGGTCACAGTTGGTGACTCCAGCAGGGCCGTTTAGGTCACTGTGGTGACTCCGGCTGAGTGGGATGTTGAGCTTTAGAATCAGCCGTACAGGACCATTGTAGGCTCTCCGGTTGATTTATTATTTCACCTGATGGATATTGATGCATTTCTAATTGTATTTGGCATGGCGTGGCATATTATTTCTGATATGTTATGTTGATGGATATGAGCTGAGTTTTGATGATATGTGTATATATATGTTTATATACTATTTTTCTGGGGAAGTATACAGGTTTTACAGCGAGGGGTTAGAAATGTTTTAAATGAAAAGTTTTCGAAAAACTATGTTTTACTGACCCACTCAATTTTGTTTTTCGCCCCTCCAGGTTCAAGTTAGCAGAGCTTTGGTGGCCACGAGGAATCCAACGGTGTTCTGACAGAATTCACAAAAGTAGGATTCACCCTCGGGAGTTATATCTTAGAAATTGTATCTTTAAAGCTTCCGAACTGTGTAAATGGTTACGTCACTCTCACGTGACGGCCAGCATGCCCTCCTTCGGGACGGGGTGTGTCAATTTTATACCCCTAAAAACTATAATAAATATATATATTAAATTAACTATAATAATTATACCCGCAAAATATTAACTATAATAATTATATATATATATTAAATTTTAAATTAAATTTTATACCCTTAAAAACTATAATAATTATTAATTAATATGCATCCACCGTTCCACCCTTTGAAGAAAAAGGGAGGGAAAAATGAAAATTATAATAAAAGGAAACAAAAAAGAGAGGGAAAGATGGGAGTAAAAACTATAATAATTAATATGCATGATGATGCATCCGCCCTTTGAAGAAAAAGGGAGGGAAAAATGAAAATTATAAGAAAATGAAACAAAAAAGAGAGGGAAAGATGGGACCTAGTGGTATTTTGCTTGCTACTAGTAGTAGGGTGGGTTTTTCCACTGTGGTTCTCTCATTTTCAAGTGTGCACTTGTTAATTGTTATTGATAGGATAAGATCCCCAATAGTTGTGTTCCTGATACGTGTACATCATTTACCTCTCTCTCTCCTTTTTTTCTTGAGAAAATTTTCATTATAACGGGAACACAAATTACACCATGTGTTTTAATAGAAGTGGTGAGAAATTTTATTTTTTAAGTTATTAACTTTTTATCACACATATCCCACTCTTTTTATAATGACACGTGATGTACTACTCCATGTACCGGTCAATTATACGTACAAAATAAATAGATTTAAATCAACATAATAAATATATATATATATATATATATATACACACACCATTGAACTTGATGGGATACGAATTATACGAAACTAATTTTAATGATCCAACCGTCAAACGTGTTTGTATATGCTTCGAGATCGCATTAGCAAAAAATCGCAAAAAACAAATATTCGGAGATCAAGTATCCGAACAAAACTTTTTTGATAGTTATAAAACGAAAAATCACGATTTAACGGTTATTTTAACTCCGATTTTGATTATTTTTTATAGCTACAATCCTTAATCATATATGAATACAATGAATGAATCTGATCTTCAATTTAAAATATTTACAATAGTGAATACCACAAAATCTTATGTTATACTTAATGAAAGTATAAATAAACTCTAAGTGTTAGTGAATCTATCGTTTTGATGGGATACGCATCCTATGAAACTAATTTCAACGATCCAACCGTCAAACTTGTTTGTATATGCTTCGAGATCGCATACGCCAAAAATTGCAAAAAACAAACATTTAGATATCAAGTAACGGGACAAAACCTTTTGACGGTTATAAACAAAAAATCACAATTTAACGGTTATTTAAACTACGATTTTGATGATTTTTTACAACTACACTCTTTGACCCTATATGAATACAATGATTTAATTCGATCTTCAATTTAAAATATTTACACTAGTGGATACCACAAAATCTTATGTTATCCTTAATGAAAGTATGAATAAACTCTTAAGTGTTAGTGAATCTATTGTTTAGATGGGATACGCATTCTACGAAACTACTTTCAACGATCCAACCGTCAAACATGTTTGTATATACTTCGAGATCGCATACATCAAAAATTGTAAAAAACAAACATTTAGAGTTCAAGTAACGGGACAAAACTTTTTGACGGTTATAAACAGAAAAATCACGATTTAACGGTTATTTTAACTCCGATTTTGATGATTTTTTACAGCTACACTCCTTGACCCTATATGAATACAATGATTGAATTCGATCTTCAATTTAAAATATCTAATGAAAGTATGAATAAACTCTTAAGTGTTAGTGAATCTATTGTTTTGATGAGATACGCATTCTACGAAACTAGTTTCAACGATCCAACCGTCAAACATGTTTGTATATACTTCGAGATTGCATATATATGAATACAATGATTGAATTCAATCTTCAATTTAAAATATCTAATGAAAGTATGAATAAACTCTTAAGTGTTAGTGAATCTATTGTTTTGATGAGATACGCATTCTACGAAACTAGTTTCAACGATCCAACCATCAAACATGTTTGTATATACTTCGAGATCGCATACGTTAAAAATTGCAAAAAACAAACGTTCAGATATCAAGTAACAAGACAAAACTTTTTGACGTTTATAAAACGAAAAATAACGACTTAACGGTTATTTTAACTCCGATTTTGATGATTTTTTACAGCTACACTCCTTGACCCTATATGAATATAATGAATAAATTCGATCTTCAATTTAAAATATTTACACTAGTGGATCCCACAAAATCTTATGTTATATTTAATAAAAGTATGAATAAACTATAATAGTGGGAAGTGTTATTGGCACTCCAAAAATCTCATTCTACACTCCTCACAAGTGTATTTTTCTTTCCCAATATAGAAAGTTTGGAGTGTAGAATGAGATTTTTGGAGTGCTAATAACAATTCCCATAATAATTATATATATTAATTTCCTTGAAGGCCAAAGTTCCAATACAATTTCCTCATGATAATCCATGTAAATTGAGGATTTTGTAAAAGGAATAAAATGCAAACTTTGAGTTCCATTGGCAAGGTTTAAACTTTTGAGAAAGCCTTCACAACCTTGAAAACAAAAACTCTTTCATTTGGCATATCCTTGCACATTTAATATTTGTAATAGATTAGTAGTGTATGTATTATTTTTTTTAATAAGTTCTTATTTTCGAGTGTAGATATAGTACTTAAACGACAAATGTGTTTTAATGTTTTGAAGTAATATTTATGTGGCAATGTGCGGTATGTGCAAATTTAAGAAAAAAATATATTTTTCTTAACGGGTCATAACGGGTCGGGTCACTTTACCCGGGTAAAGTGACCCGACCTGTTAAGGACCCGTTAAGATAACGGGTGTGACACGACACGACCCGATAAGATAACAGGTGTTACACGAAAACGACACGAACACGACAGACACGACCCGTTTTCCAGGCCTACTTCTATCTGTAGGGAACCACTTTAATCATGACATGCTAGTTAATTTGCCATAGCCAAAAGCTGAAGGTAAATAACTGGGTTGGTGATCCATTAATCATTAATCTTTGTTAATTTGCAATAATATGGGCATCTCATTTCATGCATCGGTGGCATGAGAATCTAAGAGGGTTCTGAGTTCCCAATCCTTAATTTATTTCTCTCGATACTTTAGGATATTGATCTCCAAAAACTCTGGATAATTAATCGAATGTGTGCTTATTTTGTACAACTCAGATTAAAAGTCAAGCAAATCAACACAAATAGAGAATACATTTTGCTCTTATTTGGGTACTACAGACTATATATTGCTTTTTCATCAGAAACTAACAGTTTTCATTGGACTCTTTCTTACTATTTAAAACAACATAGAAACAAAACTTGTGAAAGAATTAATAAGAATGCCACATAATTCCACCTACCCATAGTCCGAAATTTAGGAAAGCGCAATACCACACGGATTTTTGGCGACTTGTGTCTTTGTTTACCTCTAATCGCAACTGGTGGTTTAGATTAATTTTAGGGTCTCTTAATTCCAAACTAAATATTCTAAATTACTCTCACTAGCACAATAATAAATTTCTTTTTTGCATTACCTTCCTTCTCTCTTAGAGCACCTGGAAAGAACGAGAAAGAGAGAAAGAAAGCAGAGCTAATATTGAAGCTCCTAAGAAATTATTTTCTTAGGCCTTCAGGTTTCTCTTCTTCATTGTTTATGTGATCTAAATTAATTTACTACAAAGGTGGCAACACACATTGGGGTGCATTGAGTTTTACATTCATAACACACTGTTTACAAGACAAATCTCCATGGCGAGCCCAGTGCCAACACCACCTGAAAAAGAAAAGGCTACTCCTGCAATAGTTGAAAGTAATCTCTTTCTCTCTCTCTCTCTCCCTCTCTCTCTCCCTCTCTCTCTCTCTCAATGTTTTCTCATATATATATATATATATATATATATAAACACACACATATACTCTGTTACGGATATTTTAATTGTTAAATTTGATTTTCATAATGGTTTGTATCATTTATTTCAATCTTAAATATTCAATTTTCAGTACCAACACTGCATTGAAAGAAAAATTGGTGTTCCTTATGCTCGTATTTTCTTAGAGATTTTCTTATATAATTTCCTAATTCATAATGAATGTTGTAATGCTGTTTTATTTTGAAGAAATAGATTTTTTTTTTAAATATTGGCCATCTGAGGAGAGATTCTTGAATGTGCCTATGAATGTTATGTCCCTATACCTCAAATTTAAGTACAAACCAATAATACTAGACATTAGAGTAGTTATAATAAGGCTCATTTGGGAATGCTTCTAAATGACTGAAGCTTTTAGAGAAAATGCTTAAGCAACAAATTCTTAGTAAAAAATGTAAGTTAATCCTAGAAAAGTAGTTAACGTACTTTCTACAAGAAGCACATAATGGGTCCTTCTTTCAGGAAGCACTTCAAGTGCTTTTGAAACTCAAAAATATTTTCTCTCAAAGCACTTTTTGTCATTTCCAAACCAGCCCTAAATTCTATAAAATTTTAAAGTCCTCTATATGATGCAATGCAAAACCATTTTGTTATATATAGGCAGTTTCAAAACATTTCAATTTTTTTTCATTTGCCCTTTTTAGTTTTTATTGTAATTAAGAGTGAAAGCCTACATTATAACAAGGGAACGAGATCAAGAATGATAAAAGTGGTAACAAAAATTAGGGAGAAAACGTCTCTATGTGTGTAAGTTTTTTGTTATTTTCATTTCTACAATTTTTTTGCTCACTTTGTTTTCTTTTTCTTTTAAATGAAAAAAATTATCTGTCGGGTAGTGAATTTATATGTATAAGTTGGTATACGATGAAGACTGGTACTTGCACAACACTATGAAGTAGTTAGGTCTAACTTCTAATTATGGATTCTTTATTTCTGTTTGTGCAGAGGATGCAGGTGCAATTAGAAAAGGTAATTGGCCGGAACACACTATCATGAAGTTTCTTAATTTATGCGTGCATTACGTACTAATTTGATTATTTAAATTAACTAACAGTTTATTTCCTCGACTACTTATATCATTTCCTGTTCTTACACAACAGTTTTGTCAACCAAGTCATTGGGTTTAATCAAAGCATGGGAAGAACGCGAGAAAACAAAAGTAGACAACAAGTAAGATATTTAAAACCATTTTAGCTTTTTAACATATATACTTTTTTGGTAGGAGAAGCTTGGCACATTTATACAACTTCAGTTAATATGGATTATCATCTGTTCATTAACTTTAAGATCCATTGTTTAACAGTCAACTTATTCAAATTGTTGAACAGAGCAAATAAAAAGTTATCTAATGTTGTGGCATGGGAGCTAAGCAAACAAGCGGCTATTGATGCGCGTCAAAAGAAGTATGAGGTAATTAATAGGACTATGTTAATTAGGGAAATTTCCCACACCCTTTTATTCCTGGTGCACACTTCTATTTATTTTTTATCTTTGAATCAAATAAAATAAATTTAATGGACAAAATATAAACAGGCGTGTAAAAGAGAAAGTGGTGTGCAAAAATCATTTCTCTTGAATTAGGGTTGCACATTGTGGTTACCCGTAAGCTGTTAGAGATGCAATAGTACGTAGTGATAGTAGTGGTTCCCCACTGGATGACGAAATTATAGGGACTTCTGAGACGGACCACCCTAGACATACTAAATCCTTCCTAAGCACTGATGGTAAAAAAATTAGCATTTAAATTCTCATCGCTAGCAAATTTAATTCACAAGTGAAATTTCAGTTAAATACAGAGGTAAAAATGTATTTTACCTCTCTCTTTCTAGTGATCACATTCCCTTTTCATCTCTCTGTCTGTAATTTGTATCTTCACCTTCTTCCCTCCTATCTATCTTCAACTATTGTCGTGGGCATTCTAACCGGCCAATTCCCAACCTTGTTGCAGCCAACCTTTTTCATTTGTTTTTTTCATCGAAATATAATATTTGAAACTAATACGGAACAATTAGATTCAAGTTAGTGTGGACTCTCTAACCAATCGGATGTATGCATATAAACCTCGAAAGCCACGATTTCTAAATATTTTGCCAAACGCAGACCTCATAGTTCGATACACCTGTGAAGCTAATAAGGTTCTTAGAATATCAAGATTCAAACGGATATGAGCCGATGTAAGACAAAGAAGTACTCAAATGGATAAAAATTGGAGTATAGTTGAGATTTTTTGCTACCAGGAGAGAGAAGAAAGTGAAAATACAAATTACAGAGAGAGTAGAGAGATAAGGAAGAAGGTGCACACATCAAAGTACATTTTTACACCTATATTTAACGGACATTTAACAAAAATTTTACTTATGGACTAATTTGCTAAAGGACTACACCACAAAGGTTTAAATGTTGAAAGTACAACACCAGCCCATTATGAAGTCTTGATGTTCTAGATGAATTATACATAGGATTTTGCTAGAAAGCTCTAGCAAGCATGTTGGTGGATCACTAGCTAGAAAGATCTAGCTATTTTTACAATTGTGGGGTTGTCATGTAAAACCCATGTTGGTGGGCTGATTGTAGAAAAGCCTAGAATAATGCTAGGATGAAATGAGCCATGTTAACCGACTTAGTAAGTCGGCAAATATCAACTATAAATATGTATGCATGTGTGTTGGTAAGCAATCAAGAAGAAGTAGGCAACCAAGTGAGAGTGAGAACTAAGAGTAGTCTTGTGAGGAGTGTGAGTGGTCTAGAGTTTGTCTCTATAAAGTGAGTGAGTATCATTGCTTCTAAAGTGTCTTTGAGAGTTTTGAGTGTTGTAATATTTTGTGTGTGTAATACAAGTAAATTGTTTACTTGAGTTGTCTCTCCAACACTTACGTTAGAGTTGTGTACTCTAAGTTTTTTTTTCAACATTAAATCCTAATTTTTTTTGCACGTAGGCTATATTTCGATTACCTTATCACCATGATGATTTTATATCCAATTAGGCCATTTTTGCTGGAACCAAATTTGCACGCATCTACAGACAAAAGGATGTTTCATCAGAATCACCTATGAACTCTAGTCATGGGGTTGATTGGGGGGGGGGGTGATTGAATCCGTGTTTGATTGCTACATACCTCTAGGTTTGTCCTTCCATAAAAGTAGTGGTGTGATGTGTGCTACATCGTGAACCATCCCTGGTGAATATGCCTTGGCTTAGGTGTGTAAGAGATGCTTCTCCATGTCTACGCGCCTGCGACGACGTGTATAAGAGAATATGTGTTTTGTAATCTCGTAGACAATTATGTGCTTAGAGATCAAAAGACGTGTCCTTGGTAAATACCTAGACTAGGGTATTTATAGAGATCTTAAGAGTATTTATAGGGACATATATCCACTACTTAAATGATTTCAGGATCATCCCTCCGATTATTCCCTTAAGTGGCTAGAGCCCAGGTTTGAGTGTGTAACCACAACCCTTAAGTTGTACAAACTTTCTGGAAGCTGGATGGTGCACTGTAGCTTACCGGACAATGGAGCCATGTTCCAATGTCTCAAGTCCGCCCAACGTAACTGCGCTTAATACGGATCGAGCCTTCATGCTAGTAACCAGAAAACCATGAAATGAGCTACATGAGACTTCCTTGAGACTAACACTTTGAATTTTTTAGATTTGCAATGGTTGCATAGTTACAAAGTAGTAAGACAAAACTATGTCTTATGAGTACTGAAAAAAATTGTATAAGAAAGAACAAATAAAGTCATGTGAGGATCAAAACTTTCATGCCCTAGCAAAGGAGAATGGGAGTTTCTTGTGAGGATGGCAAGGGTGCACATTCATTAGCCATCCGTAGCGATGATATGAAAAGATCATTCCCAACTCTAGGGTTTCTATCCTGAATATGTAGTTTCCTACGTCGGCCCATGTTAGGTGCCTGAGTCATTGCATATGACGTCATTTATTTGACCAAGCTGACTTGCTTAAGGTCGATTGATGGAATTAGACTTAAACCAGTTAGACGCTTATTAGATAGGAGCCACACATGATTGAGGCTAACTCAAGTCGGAGTTGTAGCTCATGTGAATAACTCGTTATGATTCCATGCCTCAACCTTGTTTGAGAATCTTTAAAGCATGTAAAACTTTGCATTTAATCATATATACAACTAAATAATCAAAATTACTTACCTCTTGAAGCAGTACCATGGTTCTGACCAAGGTTGTTCATTCGTTGGATGGGCTTTCGAGTTGTTTTCCTCGTCTTTAGTAAGTACCTTAGCATGAAAGTGAACTTCCATGCTAGTATGGGATCACGCTCGTGCCCCAGTTACTGATGCTTTGAGCGTTTTACTCGTCGAAGTTCAAACCTGAAAAGGTTTCTTTTGCAAATATGTAGAAAATCGCTATTTGTACTTTACATAGTAAAATGGTGATATTTTGCTCGTTAAGGACTAGAATCATAAGCCGTAAAGTGTTATGGAAAGCTAATGTTTGTAGATTTCCAACGATATAAGTCCCATTGTCCAATTATGTTGGAGGAATTCCATTTTAGTCTCCATTTTAGTCCACAAAGTGGATTGATTTGCATAGGCAGTTTGCTAGTTGTCTTTACGCACCAGAGTTGGTTCTTGTCCCATGCTTACATTCCGTCTTGGAACTATGCTTGGGCGATCTAGAATTACAGACACAATTTTCATGTCTTGGATTGGCCACTCGTTCCTCCAGAGGTACCAACACACTTTTCATGTCCTTCAAATTAACTAATACTTCCACTTTAACTTATAGAGGATGACATGTTGTCTAAGTTTAATTTCCTCACTCATTCATTCTAGATGAAGCATCCGTGATTTGCAATATTGATCTGAATATAAGAGTATTATGATTACTTGTGGCGCACGTCAATTCCCAGGTGGTAGGAATTTTAAGAACATAGGAAACACGTTTGGTCCCTAGTCGAATTATGTGTCTTGCGAAACAAGTAGAAATGTTTGGAGCCTAACAAAGCATGGTGGCACTGTAGGTCAGCTTGTTTATCTTATCACGACCGGAGCTGGTTACTCCATGATCGCACTATGAAGTCATACTTACTCTAATCCTTTTTACTCCGACCAATGAAAAGTTCAAGGATCATGTTTTTACAGTAAGTCGAAATAACAATGTCATTCAGATTTCTTTATGTGTGTGAATCCGGGTCCAGAACTGCTATATGGTATATGAGTCATTTCGTATTCATAAAAAAATCTCTTCTTACTCCACATAGTATGCCTTTGTCCTTTTCCATTATGAGCTAGTAATGGAGGATTACAAGTATGGAGTTGCCATGCACTGCTTTGCAAGTGACTTACTTTTAGCTCGTCGGAGCAAACTTGTGTTGGCTGGAACCATTAAGTTAACCGTTAAATTAGTCATTATTGTGTGTATCCTGAATTCATAGGCTTTTGTAGCACATTGTGCGTTTGTTTAATATGAATTCGAAGTAAGAACTTGAGGAATTCTGTATAGAATTCCAATTTGCGTTGTGATTGCTAAAAAGGCGAAACGTTTTCCACGTAGCTCAGAATCTCGTTTCGCAAAAGTTTACGGAAATCTAACATCCATATCTTTGCCATGGTGTATGGTAAAAATCCCAATTCGTTCTGAACAGGTACATTTTAATCTGTCAACTTGACAATGTTGCTGTAACGTCCTAGTTGGGTTGGCTTGCTGTTCAGCTTCTTTGCGTGCCAAATTCGAAGTCGTTTTCCTTCGGAAAAATTCTGAAAAATAAGAGCTTTGTAGCCCTACTTCTTAGCTTTTCATGCGTATATGGCACATCATTTGGAAAAATCAAGAAGGCCTTGAATCCCTCGTTTTCCTATAGTTCTGATAGGACTGCAGCTTTGGTTGTCTTTATTGAAAACTGGAAGGCCTTTAATCCGTGTTGGATTGCCTACGTATCTATATATCTCTGGACTTGCAGAATCAAATCATAGGTGTAGTTCTATAGAAGGAATGGTGTGATGTGTGTTACATTGTGAACCATCCTTGGCGAAAATGTCTTGGCTTAGGCATTTAAGAGATATTTCTCCATGTCTACATGTAGACGATGGCGTGCGTGAAAGAATATGTGTATTGTAGTCTTGTCTAGAATTATGTCTTATCAGATCATAAGAGATATCCTTGATAAATACCAGGCTAGGGTATTTACAAATATCTTAAGAGTCATTGTAGGGTGAGTAATCACTTTTAAATCAGGAGTGTTTTAAGGCGAGAATCTAGGATAAGATATCCAATCATTATGAGATCGTGATTACATTGCCTAATCCTCAAGATATCCTATTTGACATGAACTATGGTTTCCTTCCTTAGGAGGCAAGTAAACTCCTCAATAGGCTTAAGCCTGGTCCGACTAATCACTCCATCGGAATAACTTACTCCGACGAAACTTGACCAGTTCGATCATTTGACCTCCATAAGCTATGGGCATTCCAGTCATTTTCGCCACTTGGGGTGGCATGTGTCAAGGGTCACAATTAAATTATCCTAAAATGGTGGTGATGCTCACTATTGCATTGACTGTCGTTAGATGAATTTATATTACGAAAATTTCATATTAGATAGATTAAATCATACTTATTTAACGATAATCAATATAATGGTAGTATTTACCCCCATTTTAGAATAGTGAGTAAAAATTCATTTAGGCACACTCCTAACATTCTGTCCCCACGCACCCTAGCCACTTTTTGATCCCACCTAATGAATCCTGACCCGACAGCTCATGGCGTGGGTGTCCGCACCTAAAATCTCCAATATCGGGTGCCAAATGCCCAACCCTCCTATGGATTGAACACATTTTTAAAAGCTTGTTAGTCACCAAATCTAACTTATGAGAATATTTCAGTATTTTTATGCATTCGATATGAATACGTAGCAAATGAAACGTACTACCACTGCAGTTGGAACTCCAGATATTCAAAATAGAAAATTATTTTCTTTTTACGTCCATAATTTAGTCGTTTTTTGAGTTTTGAGGTTTTATATACGCTTCTTTATATCTCAGCAGTGTATATATAACTACGAAGGATACTGATTACTGTTGCTCTCTAAACACGTCTTATGTTTGGCAGCAAAAACTAGAAAAGAAGAAGGCTTTGTACGTTGAAAAGATGCAAAACAAAATAGCTGGAATCCATAAGACAGCAGAAGAGAAGAAGGCAATGGTTGAAGAGGCGAAAAGGATAGAACGTAATAAGGTGGGCGAGAAGGCTGACGATTTCCGTGAAATAGGGCATGTACCAAAGAAAATCCTATCATGTTTTAACTGTTGATCAACTTTTAATTTCCTAATACTAGTTTATTTTAGCACAACATGTGACAATGATATAGTATTGGTCATATAACCAGTAATATTAATGCAAGGTTATTTTTGTCTAATGACAGTTCATATCTACTAATCACATGTAAAGCTTCATTTTCATTTCCGTATTCGCTAGAGAAGAATTCGCCAAGACTAATGTTTGGGTGAGGGATTTTCAAAGTCTCAAGGGATTGAGACCAGGTTAGTAAGGAATGAAGAGCAAAATGTATATAGGAGGGATTAGATATTCATCTCATAAGAGGGATCTGAAATTCTGTACTTAAAAGGTGTCATTTGCAAGTCCCACTTACATACGTTTGTGATGACAGTGTAGTACATTTTTAATTCCTTGTATTTAAAGTAGTGTAGCGTATTTCTTCCTCACTTGACCTAGATTCTTGGGACGTGTAAATCCCTCACCCAACAAACCCTAAGTTGGTCAGTTTTCTTTTAGGTTTGGAACGCTTTTAATTGCCACACGCAGAAACAACTGGTGGCACAATATTTGTGTTTAGAGGAAGCATGTACCAACTGCTATAATTAGAAAAGAATATGTGTCTTCTTTTTCCTTGTAGTATTCTCATATTACCTATCTCAAGCACTTTACTCCAACTGTGAGGAAAATATCAATTGATCTACTACGTACTGAAGATTCCAAGAGACACATGCAATGGACGATCTTGAGATTTATGACTTTGCCAAAAGATAAAAATGTAGCAATCATTTGACATACATATATATGCTATTCACGTATATATGAAATCAATCGGTTTATCTATTAACTCATTAATAAAGTGACACTATAGTACATCTGTACATGTCATATATATAATATTGCCTGATGAAGCTAAAAAACTTAGAATCTAATCTGAAGCTTCTGATTAGCGTAGAAATATGACTCTCTTGATATATTGATCAATGATTTGACTGCTTCTGGAGATATCGATGAGTTGAACGCGGAGACTAACCTCACTAGCGATGAAACCTTGAGCAAAGTGTTTTTGAAGACAGTCCCAAACTTCCTTGGCGGTTTCAAACCCAATAGTACGTGTAAGAAGAGACTCAAAGAAGACACTGGTGATACAACTAACGACCAGTTGATCTTGTCGAATTCATGTGAGCTTTTTTCCACTTCGGATCCCGTAAAGCTTCTTCCACCTTAGTTGGAATTTTGATGGAATCCATATAATTTACCAGGGCCTTGCGTTCAGGTGCAATGCGCTCACAAGATACATAATTAGCATTTGGATACCTCACTTTTCCTTCAAGAGAGAACCTATCAAGTTGCATACCTTGATTTTGTCTTGGTGGCAATTTGTATGTACTCCCCATAAGGTATTAGGGTTAGTTGTGTTAAAGTTAATCTTTTGCTTTAAAGTTAATCCTTTTATTGTAATATGAAATGTTTTTGGGTCTCTAATCTATTGCCACATGTATGGCTTAGATTTGTTGTAAAAGGGTTGACTAATTGCCTTCTTAGCTGTCCCATTTCCTGAAATCAAATTAGAAAATATCTCTTTGGGATAAAGCTCTCTGTTTCCCATTGCTCTCTACCCTCTGCTTTCCCGTGCCTTGCTACTGCTGACTCTTAGAAAAATCTCTATCTTTCTCTCATTTTTATTCAAGTTTTATTAATGATGAAGATGTTTTGAATACCAACATGGTATCAGAGCCAATCTGATCAAAAAGTGGGGTGTTTTTTTCTTCTCAAAAGCGGAAAAATTCTAAATGAAACCCTAGAATCAAAATTTTCAAATTCATGGCTGGTTCAAGTAGCAGTGGAGAAATTCGAACTCCTATCTTCAGTGGAGTGAATTATGACTTCTGGAGGACTAAGTTGAGAACAATTTTTGTATCTCATGATTTGTGGAGCATGATTGAAGATGGCTATGTGGTACCCCTAAGTACTGTGGCTTTGACAGAGGCTCAGACAAAGGAACTGAAGGAAAACATCAAGAGAGATGCAAAAGCTCTTGGGGTCATCCAAAATGCTATCTCAGAAGAAATTTTTCCGAGAATCTCGAATGAGACAAGTGCCAAATCCTCTTGGGATGTGCTGGAGAAAGTCTACAGAGGCCCTACTAAGGTAAGGGTTGTCAAACTCCAATCTTTGAGAAGAGATTTTGAGTACATAAGAATGAAAGATGATGAATTGCTAAACGATTACTTGAGTAGATTGTCTGAGATTATTAAAAGTTATGGTGAAACCTTGTCTGATGAGAGAATAGTTCAGAAGTATTTAATTAGCTTGCCAAGAAAGTATGACAACATAGTTTCAATCATATAGGAGAGGAGACTAAGGATTTATCAACTTTGAGTGTTAAAGAAATAATTGGTTCACTCAAAGGTTTTGCTCAGAGACTATCCAGGCATGACAACAATGATATAGAAAATGCTTTCCAAACACTTATAGTGAATCCAAAAACTGAACCTAGTTCAAGTCAAAGCAAAGCCAAGTCCAACAAGAATTGGAAAGGCAAAAACAAAGTGTGGGAAGGAAAGGGTAATTTTGAAGAGAACAAAAAAGATTGAGAAAAGTTTGTATGTTTCGAAGTACAAAATTTGTGACAAAGCTCATTCCAGTAAATGTTGGTTCAAGGGAAAAGTGAAATGCCACAAGTGTAGCAGATTCGGGCATATGCAAAAGGATTGTACCTACAATTATAATCAACTAGCTCACTACTCTAAAGCAAAAGGTGAAGAGACCAATATGTTTTGTGTTGGTCATGATACAACTATCCAAGCAGAAGCTAAAGTTTGGTTTGTGGACAGCGACTGTAGCAATCATATGACGGCGAACAAGAACATTCTCCATAATATTGACACTACAAACCCAACCCAAGTGAAGATGGGAAATGGGCAGCTAGTCGATATATTGGGAAGAGGTACTATTGCCGTACATACGAAGAATGGAAAGATGTTCATCAAGGATGTCATGTTAGTTCCTGATTTGAAGCAAAATTTGCTAAGTCTTGGACAACTCATTGAGCATGGCTATTACTTGTATTTTGGAGACAATATTTGCAACATATATGATGGGAGGAATCGTGAACAACTCTTGGCTAAGATTGAGATGAGGAAGAGTATAAGCTTTCCTCTTACAATTGAGTATGCAACTCAATTTGCACTCAAGATGGAAGTGCAAGAAGATTCAAAGCTATGACATAAAAGGCTTGGGCACTTGAATTTTCAAAGTCTCAAGAAGCTACAAGAAAAAGAAATGGTGCATGGATTGCCGAGTATCCAAGAAAATGAAGAAATCTGTGAAGGTTATGCACTTGGGAAACATCATAGAGATTCATTTCCACATGGTAAAGCTTAGAGAGCAAAAGCTCCATTAGAATTGATTCATATAGATGTTTGCATACCTATGAAAACCTCTACTCAAATGGGAAACAAGTATTTCCTAATCTTCGTGGATGATTATTCCAAATGACTTGGGTATACTTTCTAAGACAAAAATCAGAAGTGTTCTCAATCTTCAAGAAGTTTCAAGCTATGGTTGAGCGATAATCTGGTTATCTAATCAAAGTTCTTAGAAGTGATAGAGGAGGAGAGCACACATCCATAGAATTTGATAAGTTTTGTCAAGATATTGGCTTAGAAAGGCAGCTTACTGTCAACTACACTCCACAACAAAATGGAGTAGATGAGCGAAAAAACAGAACCATAGTCGAAATGGCTAAGGCAATGTTGCATGACAAGGGAATGCCTCAATATTTGTTGGGTGAGGCAATTAATACAATAGTCTACTTGATGAATAGGCATCCGAAAATGGCGGTTGAAGGCAAGACACATTTGAGGCATGGAGTGGAAGAATGCCTTTCGTGAATCACTTGAGAGTGTTTGGGTCAATCTGCTTTGCTTATGTTTCGAAAGAACTAAGATAAAAACTTGATGAGTCAAGTGAAATATGCATTTCCGTAGGTTGTGCTTCACACACAAAAGGGTATAGACTCTACAATTTAAAAAAGAAGAAAGTTGTGGTTTGTAAAGATGTTCTCTTTAGTGAGAAATCTTCATGGGATTGGAATCAAGCAACATCCGAGAGGAATTTGCACTAATCAGAATTGAAGAAGAAAATTAACCAAATGAAGAGGAGATTGAGCCAGAAATTCCACAATTGTCACTTGAAAACAATCCTCAAGTTCACTCCTCCACACTTTCGAGTCCAAGTTCAACGCCGGTTCGTTAAGGAGCTTAAATGAAGTCTATGAAAACTGCAATTTTTGTGTTGTAGAATTGGAAAACTTTGATGATGCAGTGAAAAAAGATACATGGAAGGCTGCAATGCAAGAGGAGATTAATGTCATTGTGAAAAACAAGACATGGGAACTAGTGGACAGACCTTGTGACAACTCTGTCATTGGAGTGAAATGGATTTATAAGACTAAGCTCAATCAAGATGGTTCCATTCAAAGGAACAAAGCTAGATTGGTAGTAAAGGGTTATTCTCATAAACCTGGGATTAACTTGCAAGAAACCTTTGCACCGGTAGCAAGGCATGAAACAATCAGAGGCCTTATTTCTGTAGTTGCTTAGAAGGGGTGGTTTCTACCCCAACTTGATGTCAAGTCCGCTTTCCTAAATGGAGTCCTAAAAGAAGAGGTGTTCGTTGATCAACCTCAAGGATTTGTTCTTAGAGGACAAGAGCACAAGGTGTACAAGCTTAAGAAGACACTTTATGGCCTGAAACAAGCTCCGAGAGCATGGTAAGGAGAGATCGACTCATATTTCAATGAAGG